TTGCCGGCACGGCGCTCGGGGCCGGAGCCGGTGTTTGGCCGGCACGGCGCTCCTGGGGTTTGGGCGACCTGTTGAGGCGCTCGGTGGGGGGGAGGGGGTTTCGGCGGCCTGGAGCTCGGGGGGGGGGGTTGAGCGGCCCGGCGCTCCAGGGGTTTGGGCAGCCCGGCGTGGCACGGCGCTGGGGGGTCGTTGGCGCTGTGCTCGGGGGGGGTGTTACGGCGGGGTGGCGCTCTTCTTTTTTGCCTGGGGCGGCAAAAAAGTTAAAGCCGGCCCTGCAGAGAGGGCTGAGGTCTGTTGAAGGGGACTCCCTAGTATACCTTTTGAGAGTCAAGCCACCATCAGAGGGACTCGAGGACTTGCACTGGAATGGTGACCACAGAGTCTAGGCTGTCGCACCTCAGACGGCAAGGCAAGCTTGGAGAGGTCTGAGCCTCAGTCTGGCATCCTGTACCACATATGTGCATGCTGCCATGTGGCCAAGAAGACTCAGGTACCCCCTTGCTGTAGTGATAGGGTACCGTCTGAGGCCTTGTATGATGTCAGTCATCACTGGAAGCGAGCCTCCGTCAGGAATGCCCCAGCCAGACTGAGTCCAACACTGCACCGATAAACTCTATTCTTTGGGTCGGTAGCAGGGTTGACTTGTTCATGTTGAGAAGGAGATCCAACCTTTTGAAGGTTGATCTGACGAAGCATAGCTGAGACTCCACCTGTTCCCTCGAACGACCCTTGAGCAGCCAGTAATGAAGGTATGGGTATATCTGCACCTGCCTCCGATGGAGGAAGGCTGCTGCGACCGACATGCACTTGGTGAACACTCAGGGGGCTGTTGACAGGCCGAAGGGGAGGACCATGAACTAGTAATGGTTGTGGTTGACCACAAACCGGAGGAATTGTCTGTGAGCAGGCTGTATGGATGTGGAGTACACATCCTTGAGTTCGAGGGTGGTGTACCAGTCTCCCGGATCCAGAAAGGGAATAATCGCACTTAGGGAGACCATGCAGGACTTCAACTTTTTCATGAATATGTTGAGGCCTCGCAGGTCTAAAAGGGGTCTGAGACCCCCCACTTGGCTTTGGAAATTAGGAAATATCGGGAGTAGAATCCCTTGCCCCATAGCTCCTGAGGAACCTCCTCCACTGCCCCCGAGGTGAAGAGCGTCTGTGCACTTCTACCATGTGGCGAACCCAGCAGTCCAATGTTATTTTGGGACCAAGCACGGTAAAAGTGGGACAGACGGTTGAGAAAACAAGGGGAAGGATCCGGTGCTGTGGCTGGTGCACCGTCCTCAGGCACACCTTCAAAAGGCCTGCTTTGAGCCCGACGATGGTGTAGTCGGGCCCTGGCCCTGGCCCTGGCCAGGCGGAGGATGGGACAGCTTGTGCCTGCCATTCCTGCCCCGCTTTCTGTAGAAATCCTGCTTCAGTCGTCGGGGATAGGAGCACTGTTGCAGCTGGGGTTTAAAATGTTTACCGTGGGTTGCTGGTGTGTGCATGCCCAATGACTTCATAGTAGCCCAGGAGGCTTTAAGGCTGTGCAGCCTGGAGTCCGTTTGCTCCGCGAAAAGGCCTGCACTGTCAAACAGCAGGTCCTATAGTGTTTGCTGCACTTCTAGGGGAAGCCTGGATGCCTGAAGCCATGAGCTTCTTCTCATAGTGATGCCCAAGGACAGGGTTCGTTCGGCAGAGTCCGCAGCATCCAGTGAGGCCTGTAAAGAGGTCTATGCCACTGCCTTGCCCTTCTCCACTATTGTCACAAACTCTGATCTCGAGTCCAGTGGCACCAATACTTTAAACTTCAACATGGAGGTCCATGAATTGAAGTTGTACCTGCTGAGGATAGCTTGCTGGTTAGCTATCCTCAGCTGCAGCCTCCCAGTTGAATGGACCTTTTGACCAAAAAGGTCCGTCTTTTTCGACTCCTTAGACTTTGGAGTCGGTCCCTGTTGCCCCGTCTCTCCTTCTTGTTCATGGCAGACACCACTAACAAGCAGGGTACCCTTCGTACTCCTTCGAGGGCTGTTGAGGGAATGGATGCAGGGGTTTGCCACGGAGTTTTGATGTTATTTTGGATTGTTTTTATAAGGGGCAGAGCGAACCTGGATGGCCCTTCCAGTGTCAAAATGTTGACAATGGGGTCCTCAGATTCAACCACCTCCTCTGCCTCCAACCCCATGTTGCAGGCATCCTGCGTAGCAGGTCCTGATGGGCCCTGCTATCAATGGGGGGCGGTCCTGAGGCTGAAGCCCCTGCCAGCGCTTCATCCGGCGATTAAGATGACAAAGCCAGAGGTGGCGCCAGGCCCTCCTGTCCTTCCTGCTCTCTGGTGTTGTCCTGTTTGCCACTGTGGCTCTCGGTGCTGATCCTCTCAGCAGGTGCCAGGGATCAGCGCTGCTCGGCCGGTGCTGGGAACCGGTGCCACTCAGACGGAGCTGGAGACCGGTGCCGCTCCATCTGCTCTGGGAACCGGTGTTTTGGTGCCAGTGATGGGGAGCGATACCTAAATGGAACCGGGGAACCCCATCTGGAAGCCGGTGCCGGAGAATGGTGCCACGATGGTGGTGTCAAGGAGCGGTGCCATGGGGGGCAGTGCCATGTTGATGAAGGTCAGCACCTCATCATGGCAAGTTTTCTTCTAGACAGTGCCGCTTGCTGCGGTGCCAGAGGCCTGTTTCTGCCAGTCAGGAACTGAGGTGCCATCATGGTCTCAAAAGTGTCTTGGGTGGAGGGGAGCTCCAACTCCTCCACCTGGCACTCCTGATCAGGAGAGTCTATGGGCACCGGATTCAACGGACTCTTTTGAGGGACTGAAGTTGACGGTGCCGTCTCCTGTAACTCCGGCACCGGGTGCTCCTGCATTGGATGCAGTCTGGTTGCACCAGCCGGCACTGCTGTCTTTGGCGCAGGGGAGCAGCCTCTGTCCGTCTTCCTGTACTGCTTGTGCAGCACCGGGGAGTGGGAGCGGTGCCAAGTTGCCTCCATGGACTTCGATGCCAGGGAGCACCGGTGTCAACGGTCTCTTTGGCCAGAATCCTTCCTCAGCCCCATATCATGCACAGAGGCCGGAGCACTCCGCATGGACGTGCTCGGTGCCGGATCCTATTGGCCCAGGGCTGGCTGAGGACGAAGAGCTGCCTCCATCAGGATCTGCTTGAGAGTGAAGTCTCGCTCTTTCATTGTCCTTGGGTGGAACACCCTGCAAATTTTGCACCTCTCTGTCTGGTGTGCCTCCCACAGACATTTAAGGCAAGAGTCGTGGGGGTCACCCGTTGGCATGGGCTTGTGGCAGGTTCCGCAGGGCTTAAACCTGTGGGACAGAGGCATGCCCCATAGCCCAGGGGAAGGATATGGGGGGTGGGTGGAGGTGGGTGGGAACACAACACTCCAACTATTCCTATCACTAACTAACTAACTCAACTAACTACTTAACAATTATAAACTAAGAACTATGAGCTATAACAAATAACAAGCTAAGGGAAGCACTTGCGAAGCAAGCGACCGCAGTTCCAACAACCGTCACTGGCGGTAAGAAGGAACTGAGGAGGCAGCAGGTCAGCAGGGACCTAAATTCACTGCCATGGAGGCGCCACTCCAGGGGGCTCCACAGCCGACCCATGGGTGCTGCTAAGGGAAAACTTTCTGATGACTGTGCACGATGTACCTATTTGGTATGGATATGAGCAAACACGAAGAAGAATGCACTTATTTGCAGGTGAGACAGATGTAGAAACAGCATGGCTAATACTGCTCAGTGCTGCTCTTGACTATCACCTTTCTGGAAGTTTAGTGTAGGGAAACTCACACAAATCAAATATTAACACAATTAAGACCGTTATACTTTTGTTTTGGTTGGCAGATGGAGATGATGGGGGTTGTTAGATGGGTCAGCTTGTAGGTTTTCACTAGCATATTGCCTAATTGGAAAGCTTGATTCTGCAAGGTTAAATGGTATTTGAGGGTATGCAGCACCTCACAGGAGATGCTCAGAACCTGCTAGGATCTGGCCCAGAACTTCACCTCACTGATTCACCTGAAACATACCTCTATGAGGTCCCTGAATTACCCCCTGCCTCCTGCAGGACTGCTCAATCCCCACAATGCCCTGTGGAATCGCTGCCCTGCATCCCACTCTGATCTGAATACTGTATGAATCACACTTCACACACAGGATATGTCTTTACTTTTCCAAATTTACCCAAGGATCTTTACCAAGTTAAATGTAGGGTTTTTTTTCACGTGTTTCAATTACATTTTACTCTTAATGTTCTTGAGTGTTGCCCATTATTGAATCTAGTCTCCTATCACAGAATTCCTGCCCACTCCAGTCTGACAATGATGCCATACGTGACACCTCGTTTATCGACTTCTCCCACAGCCATGGCTGTGTTTTTGTCCATGCTTTCCTCTATGGATTGCTCTCTCTAAGTTGGTCTGCCGGGACCTTTTAAATTCAAACCTTTCCTTTTAGCTCACATTTGTCTGCAAGAAATGAGTCAGCAACGACATTTCAATCTTTAGTTATACTAATTCCCCCCCCCCTCCACACACACATTTTGCTTCCTGGTGATGCGCACTAACCTTTGTTGAGTAACCATGTAATCTTAGTGCTTTCACTTTGTCCTTCCTCTTGCAACTCTTCCCTTCAGTTTTGTAACTCCCTATCTTGTGTCATGTCTGAAATTAGATTGCAGCAAGCTCCTTGGAGAACACATCTGACTCGTTTATACTATGAGGTCTCTGGTGCTGAAAAATAATAAATAGCCATTAGAAATGTTGGTACTTAAATACCCAATATTAATTAATATTTCTGAATAGCTTAGGCTAAATATAGAGGGCCAGATCTTCCACACCCAACCTAGATACTTTGTGCACAGGAGAGCTCCCTGTTCTGTGGGCACTGTGTAAATAGCAATGTTAGTAGCTCTTCTCTATAAGGGACAAAACATGAGTGTGCACCAGTTTAGATGGGGACTTTAGAAAGGTCTCAGCCTTGGTCTGACTCTGCTCCTATTGAAATCAATGGTAAAACTCCTTTTGACATAAATGGGGACAAAGCTAAGACAACATTGAACAGAAGAACGGCCATACTGGGTCAAACCAAAGGTCCATCTAGCCCAGTATCCTAGCCAATGCCAGGTGCCCCAGAGGGAATGAACAGAACAGGTAATCATCAAGTGATCCATCCCGTCACCCATTCCCAGCTTCTGGCAAACAGAGGCTAGGGACATCATCCCTGTCCAACATAGAGAACTTTCAAAATTCCCAGGCTTAGCACACTCCATTTTTAAGCAGAACTGCCCATTGACCTGGATGGGGAATTCTCAAACAAACACAGGCAAACAAAGAAACAACAACCTTAATGACCTAATGGCACAATCTGCCTTTTAATTAGGAGGGGGTACCAAGTGACTGTATCTTTCAGAGCTTATGCTGAAAGTAGACATTTGAACTAACACAGAATCGAACCTCATTTTAACATTCCTGGTTTATAGTCACCATTCATACAGTAAAAGCAGCAAAGAGTCCTGTGGCACAGGACTCTTTGCTGCTTTTACAGATCCAGACTAATACGGCTAACCCTTTGATAATTTATACAGTACAGTATTGTATGATGCAGAGTTTCAACTGTTGATCCATTTGGTTATTATACTTGTGCCTGTTTATTATGGCTGTTGTTCTAACATCGCTCATGGATACAATAACATCACTATCTTCCTTTTTCCTTCTGCTCTGTGGCCACCCTTTACAGATGAGCTTTATGTGACATGCATGTGATAAAATTAAACATAAATAATTATTTGCATATTTATAGTGCCTGCCTTCCCAGGGTCTCAAAGCACTTTACAGACATTAATGAATCTAACCTCTGAAAACCCCTGTAGTTACTCACAAGTAATTATTATTCCCATTTTACAGATGAGAACACTGAAATAAATATAAATAATACTAATGACAATAATACTAGTATCAGAGGGGTAGCCGTGTTAGTCT